GAGCCCCGCCGCACCGGCCAGCCACGACGCCAGCGCCAGCGCCAGGAAGAGCACGGCCGAGCGCGCCGCGCCGCCGCGGTCGGCCGTCGGGTGGTGCAGGGGGCGGCGGCGGTGGCACCTGGGCGTCGTCCGCGGGGGCATCATCGCGGCCGGGGGCGGTAACCAGGCGCTACTGCTGCTGCTGCTGCTGCTATAGCCGTCGTGGTGGGTGTGGCTGTGGCTGGCGGAGCTGGGGAGCGGCTGCGGCTGCGGTTGCTCGAGCTCCCCCCACCCGCTCGGTGGCTGGATGGCAGTGTACCACGGCAGCGAGGAGGCCGCGTGTCCGAAGTCCTGCTTTAGTGAGGCCATGACGGCGGGAAGTGGGGGGGTTTGACGTTGGTTTCTGCTCTTGTTGTTGTGGCAGTTTGAATGGTAGCATTAGATGGCGGTCATTGAGACGTAGGGATGAGGCGGCAAAAGGACGGGGCTGCGTGGCGGCCTGCTTTTTTGAAGGCAGCAGACGGCGGATGGGTTAGCAGATAGGAGGCTGTGATGGGGGATTCCGCTGTGACGGACGTGTGTATATATGTGTGTGTGTGTGTGTGTGTGTTGGGAGCCTCGTCCAGTCACACATAGCCTGGCTGTTAGTCAGTTCGAGTCCGGCCAAACCAGCCAGCCAGCACACGTCGCTGAGCGGCGCGTGGCCACCGTCAACCCGCCCATGTAGACTCGGAAATGTCACACAAAGTGCCACTCGCGGCGCGGGACAGAATCCCGGCTGGCCCCACCGACACACCCCGTTTGGAAAAGCCAACCCCAAGCCCGGGGTATCTCGAGCTCAGCCAGGTCAATCAGGCTCCGCAAGTGACTGTGCCGTGTTGTTTGGCTCCATGTCACGGCTGATAGCTACCACAGGCGGACTTGGCCAACTGGATATATGTCCACGTCAGACTGAAAACACTTGTGCAGTCGCTTTGTGTGGTCAGTCCATGCGCATGCTGGTATCAACCTTCCCGAGGTGCGAAGATAGAACATTTACGGCCCTCGAAGCGATATAAGAGGCTGGCCTGCAAAAAAAGATGATAGGGATCGGTGAGACTTGAACTCACGACCTTAGGATGGCCCTTGTGCAGGTACTTCTCCATATAGGAACCTATGCGCTGCCAACTGCGCTACAACCCCGGATATCTGTTGATGGCTGTTTGCGGCCCGAGACGGCACCTGTAGGAGCGCGAGGAGCATGCTTCAAGACACACAGATGTCGTTTTGATAAACGGCGGACGGGCTTTGGGTGGTTGGCTGGTGCTCCACAAATCTGGCAAAAAGGGACGCTGATATAGTTTAGTCAACCAAAAAGAGAATAACTTGAAAGAAATAGCAATGGTACCGCAATGTCCGAGCCTACCAGGCCATCATGCTAAAAAAAAAAAATGTACAAAAAAGCCACGAGATAAACTCGTACACGAAAGAGTTGCCCGCCCTCCAGGGCCGGTCAAGCACATTTAAAGAAACTTGCTCTTTAAGCCGCCGAGTAGCACGTTCTTCTTCTGCTTGTTGACGTATTTGCTGACATCGTCGGCCCAGCCCTGGCTCTGGTTTTGGAGCGTGTCCATGGAGTCGCCCATGATGTTCAGCTTCTCGGTCCGTTCGTTGATCTGCCGCGAGAGGTAGTCGCCCCAGCCCTCGGGCCCCGCGCCGGCACGCGACGACCCCGCGGCACCCGCGGCGCCGCCAGAGCGCGCCAGCCTGGCCTCCTCGGCGGCTGCTGCTATCATGCGCTTGCTTGGAGGCCGTCCAGGCCCGCCGATCAGCTCGTCCAGATCCGTCGGCGACACGTGCTGCGTCCCGCTGATCCACTGGAGGTTGCTAATGGTTGGACGGGGTGGCACAGTCAGCTCTGGGTTTAGCAGCGTGTCTTCGGTGCTCATGCCTGATCCCGAGGCCCATGCCGGCACGACAACCAGCTCTGAAGGGCCCGCCCAGCAGATGATATCTCCGGTGGACGCCACCAGGGAGCTCAGACTCCGGGGCGGATCCATCATGCTAAGCGTCGCCTTGCTGATCTCCTTCAGCGCAGGGATGGAATATGCCCGTGCCGTGCGGTCTCCAAAAACACACACGACGGCGAAGCCATGCTGCTCCAGCTCAGCCACCGAGGCGGCGTCGCAGAAAACGTCGTCAAACGACTTTGATGCCCCCTTCGCCGAAGCTGGCTTGAAGATGCGGATTTCGGTTTGGGTCACTGAAAAGGTTGTTTGTCAGCTCCCGCCATGGTTTATGTCGAGTTTGGCAGCCTCTTTGCCTGTACTTACCGACGACAAGAACGCCGTTTACATGCTGGCCGTTGCGGAGGCCAGCAACTACCTCTCCAGTAGCAGTGGCTGGTCGGCCGGTGTTTGCGGCTATGGGGTTGATGCTGATAATCTTGTCGCCCAGGTTCGCGACTCCAACAAGCGTCGCCGTGTAGCCACCCCCTGAGGGCAGGAGTTTGAAAGTTGCAACCTTGCCGAGCTGAGTCCCCACAAAACAGGCTATGCTTGAATAGTTGTCACCCTCGAGGGTCAAGACTCCAAACTCGATCACAACGGGCCAGTCCTTTGCTACTGTGCTAGACGAGTGGCTCTTGAGGAACGATGACCGCTTCTCTTGCTTGGCAAATTCCGCGCTGGAACTCTGCAGGATGACTGCCGGCCCTCGAAGGTCTATTATGCTGATGAAGCCTTCCTCGGAGCCGACGGCCACGAAACCGACGTCGGACACCTTGACGGCCGTGATGGGCCCCTTGGTCATGTCGTACAGCACAAACGGCTGCAGCCCCTCCTTCAACGACGGCTCGGCCCGGGAGCTTATATCGCACAAGCCACCCGGGTTCGGCTCGACCTCGTCCGGCGCCTCCCGCCCGAGGTACTTGTTCCCGCCCCAGCGGAATATGGCGACCTCTCCTGTGCGAGTCCCCGCCGCGAATTCTCCCGTACTGGCCGCCATGGACATGGCCGTGATTTCGACTTGATCGTAGCGGCCAGTGGCCCGAGCGACGTCTACCTGTAGCATCCCCGAGTTCTCCATCTCGTCGCCGCGTCCGGCGTCCCACATGCGGACCGTGCCGTCCGCGTGCGCCACCTGGAGCACGTTGCGCCCCTCGTGCCGTCGGCGCACATTTTTACCCTCGGCTCCGCCCCGGACAAGAGACTCGCCACGGTTGCGAATCTCGTTCATGCCTAGCCATCGCTCTCGGGGTAGTATGGAGAGCGTAACCTTGGTAACGAATGGGTGCACAAACGACAGTGAGGGGTGTAGCTGATTTGTCGGGCTGATGGGGTATCCGGAAGGAAAACTTAGAGTGATCATCTCGCCAGATGACAGGACGGCCATGATTGCGACGGGATCCTGTGCGCCGGCAAAGTGCGGCGAGGTACGTGGTACCAGGTAGAAATCAGTCAGGTTGGCGCCGACCGGGGTTGGAATAACATGCTGCCGCCTGCCCTTGAAGTGGTCAGACAGTGCCTGCCACGACGAAGTGGCGTAGATGGGCGTCGGACCTAGCTCGAGCCACGTGAGGCCCTGCTCGGGTGCGTCTATGGGCAGGCCTCCAGATATCAAAAGGCCAGTGTCATCTGGATCTTCCTTGCAGCACCACTTGATGTGTGAAAACGGCTCGACCAAGGCGGGCCGGGGAGGGTTGGAACTGGACTGGTCAACATTAACGTCTAAAAGAGACCTAGCCATGACCATGCGGCCATCCTTGGGATCCCAGAAAACAAGACTGCCGTCGTCATGGGCCGTCAGGATGAATGTGCCGGTCGGGTGCCACACTGCCTGGATGACCCTCGGGTGACGGACCGAGTCGATCTTGTCGCCATTTCCGCCCGGGGCGCCGGGCTGGAGCACGTACTCGAAGAACTTTATGGGCTGGTTCTGTTTGAAGGAGTATATGATGGCGCCGTGGTTATAGGCAATGAGGAGTTGGCCAATGTCGCGCGGGTGCAGCTGCATCGACACCATGTTGGGCTGGCGGGCCTTGGGGTCGCGCTGCTTCCAGTAGTTTGGCAGGCGGAAGCTCGCGAGGCGGCAGCGGTCGAGGTCGAAGGCGAAGACATCGCCCGACGCGGTGCCGAGCAGGGCCCAGTCCAGCATGGGGTCGGTCAGCATGCAGGCGATGCCGGCGTTGGCGTGGCCGCCCAGGCGCTCGCCGGACGCGAGGTCCCATACCGTGATCTCGCCGCGCGAGTCGAGGCTGACGAGCTTGTCGGCGACAAAGTGGAGGAAGCGGATGGAGGCATGTTTGGGAGGCTGGATGGACTTGTGGACGCGCCCCTGGCCGAATATGTAGATCTGGCCGTTGCCGAAGTTGGTCAGGTTCGTGCCGACGGCGAGGAGGGACTGGACGGGGTCGTAGGCGAGACAGCTGTGGCGCAAAGGGCGCGTGTTAGTTATCAGGCGCGTCTACAGTACAGGAGGCCACGGGGACGCACCTTATTTGCGAATTGATTCCGTAACGGGACTGCTCGCTGGGCGCAAACATGTGCGGCTGGATGGCAGCAGACAGGTCGTTTTGCACGCCCGCCTGCCGGCTCCGCAGAAAGCTCGCCATGGTGGGTTCTTGCAGGCAATTGGGGTGACTGACGCGAGGTGAAGCCGGCGGCGTGGTAGATTTCGCGTTTGGCTGTCTCGGGAGATGGCAAAGGGAGCGGCGCTGAGAGGGGAAATTTCCAGTGGCTCAGCCGCGGGCAGACGTCACCTTCCCCCAAAGCCCCGCACCCGAGCTCCACCGCGGCCCCAAGCTAACACGCAAAGCTAGCACGCACGGGCAGGGTCGTGCCGTTTTCCCGCGCTAATTGCCCTCTTCAGCCATCGTTTTGCAGAGCTGAGCAGCCAAGGAAACGTGCGCGGTGGTTGAAAACCCAAGCCGCTCCAAGAATAGACACCCAAAAAGTCTATTGAACAACGATACCACAGTTATGAAACAAACAGAGAGATGCATCATCACACATTGATGCCTCTGGACTTTCCGATTGTCCTGTCGATGTTGGAAAGGGCGCGCAGCCTGCCAGCCACAGAACCAGATTCACAGAACCAGATGCGGCCCGCATCAGCAGGAATCTGCCGGAACCAACCGTCAACTTGGGTACAGCAGCGCATCCTCCATGTGTTGAGTCTTCAAATGGCAGCCAATCTCATATCCATTCTCGACGCTGAGACTTGGCCGTCGGATTGTTCCGCTCGGGTTAGCTGAATGGGTTAGCGGACTCACCAAGTGGGCTGGCCTCTTCTCCAGGGCTCAGCGCATCGTCAACTCGGACTCGCAGTCGGACTCCAAGTTGAATCGCGAGACAAGGGATTCTGGCCTGGCTGCATCTTGAAAGCGCCATGGCCGCGCGACGGATTCCCGCGGCAACCATGTCAGCATCCGCACATTTTCATCCCGACCGCTTGCGGCAGAGTCTCGAGCTCTCCGAGGAGTAGAGCTCCAAGGAGTTATTATGTCCATGTATTGATACGGGCATCTACGGCTCATCAAGTGTTTCCTCGTGTTTGTTTTGGGCTACTCTGTCCCATTTCGCGTGAAACTCGGCTATTTTGGGTCGGGTAGCCACAGCTGGCGAAGGCCTCCCTACCTACGAGGTATGTACGGAATCACAGATAATCTCCTCGGGCTCTTCCCGTAATCGGGCTGCGGCAGAGAAGAGGCTCCAACTTACGGCCGTTGACGTATCTGGTCCTTCTCAACCTGCCGGGGAAGGAATAGGTCGATTTAGATGAACGTTTCACTCTCGGAGGCGCCAGCGACACAACAACTGGCGTAATGTCTCTTTGGTGAAGCGCAATCGACGTCGTACCAATTCAGGGCCGTCTTGGTTCAATCACGGAGCCAAGGACGCGGGTACTGGCATGGGACCTGGAAGCATGGGACCTGGAAGCGCGGATTTGCGTCGCTCAGGCTTCCGTGTCACGTCTTTCACGTCTTTCTGGTGTTGTCTCGCCCACGCCTCCATCAACCGCCCCGAAACAGCGCGTGTTCACTCTCATAGAGGCCGGCGTTTTGTTTCTCGTGTATGCTTCGCCAAGCTGCTGAACCGCCAAAAGAGCGACGAGGAGTACTGTGTACGCTCGACATGCACATACGACAGCGGCAGACCGGCCGATGCAGTGACGAGACGCGCCACGAGGGCGCAATCGGGCCATTTGCTGCAGTGATGCGGAACAACCGCCGTCTGCGGTCATACACCATACACCATACACGAGCCGCATCTGTACGAGCCTGGCCGAGGAAGGGCAATGGAACCAGGCAATGGAACCAGGCAATGGAACCAGGCAGCGTCGCCGCGGCCCACGCGGTCGGATTTGGCAAGAAGGGATGCACCCAAGGACTGGCATGTAGTATCCATACATCCATGATCCATCCCCCTCTTCATGCTGTCTGGTCGGTGGAAAGCCGCAATGCGACCCTTGAGCCGCTCCACTGAGCTTACCCACCCAATTCGGGCAGCACCCAGCCTTGTTGAGTGTTAAGCGAAGGGCCGCGAATGCAATGCACGTCTGGGCCGTCACCTGGCTTTATCGCACGGGATGTAGGCCAGGCCTACGGCAGTTGCCAACGGGCCATGGCAAAGTTCGGCACCGAGTGCGCTCCCGCATATAGATAAGTCATGAGAAGAGAGAATACGTGCAGGTATATGAGCTGAACACCCACGCAAATTCGCAAAATTTCAAAATTTCAAAATTTGCGATTCTTGCCAGCAGTGCCGCACCAAAAGTCCAAGTGGATCACAGGCCCCTCCCCCGCACCGGCCCTCCTCAGCTTCTCCTCTACCCCAACCAATATTCCCCGTACCCCCGCAAGGGGAGCTTCGGCATTGGCTGGGCGGTTGGACAGCTGAGCGACCGGGGGCTTGGCGGGCGCCGCCGCATCCACATTTCCACGGCCCTAGATTCGTATTCAGGCTAAGCGGCCGACGCCTAGCGGCCAATCAAGCCGAGCTCGTTTGTTGCATAACCCTCCTGCTTTGCCCCTCATCATGCGGCGAAAGATGAATCTGAAAGAACCGACCGAGCCGTCGTTGTCTTCTCCTGTTCCTGTTCCTGTTCCTCCTTTGTTTCCCACGTGCCAAGAGGTCCACGGACAAGGCACCTCCTGGGCCATCACGGCAGTCGCAAATTTGACGTAAGAACCCACCCACGCGCAATGTAACGTCTTTGTGACCGCTGTTCCTGAGTCCCGACAGGGACTAGCGCCGTGTCGCTTGGTGCACCCATGCCGAGGAAATGACAAGGGAGAAACAATGATCGATTGGGGGGGGACCCTGGAGGTATCACAGCACGCACCCACACCGTAAGCCTGGAGGGGGCCCCAGAAACCCGGCCCAGCTCGCAAACGAGCTCGCGCGACTCGGCAAGGAGCCGGGGCGCGGAGAGCTCCCCCAGCTAGGCAGCTCCTCCCGGCGCCATCTGGGACGCCAAGATGGATGGCGCAGCCCAACTGGGCGCCCTCAGCTGTCAGGATTGAGGGGAGACGGGCTCGATGGACCAAGATGTGTTCACATCAGTCTCAGCCTGCCGAGCCGGGCACCCCGGGGGGTATTCTCAGGGATTACGGCCGTTTGTCAATTTTGGCCCGAGTGCCTGCAAAAATCAACTAGGGATCCCTGGTATGTCAGTCATGTCCAAGTCGCGCCTGTAGCCTCCTTCCTCTTCCTACCAAACGGCCGACGAATCAGCGGGCTCCGCGGCGGCTGACGACAGGCCTACCCGACTAGGAAGGACGCCGCACACACGGCAAAGAAAATAAGAATATGCAGCTCCGACACCCTTGTCATGCAGCTTTATCTCATTCCATCCTGCTTCCTACACGTGTTTCCTATGGATGCTCCTCCACCATTTCTTATTCTCTCCTATTTACTTTCTCTCCTATTTCCTCGCACCTCATATCCATTCCGCTGATTGGGGAAACGTGGCACCGACTTAGATCCGGAAGACATCCGTACTGGGTGGGTGTCGTGCAGCAGCAGACACGGATGGCAGAAAAAAAAAGGGATGGAAAAATAAACAAAAAATGGTTATATTATCAGACGGGTGTCGTACACATGACCACGGTTGCTACGCCAAGTGGGCAACGCCAAGCTCCCACACCACCTTGCCTAGGGAGGAAGGTATCGGCTGGGACGCCCAATCAATCTCTAGCAACCAACCCAATTGGATAATCCATAGTGGCGGCCAGTTCTGTGCCACCACGCATGCATATGTTCGTTCAATGTTCAATCTGCCCTCAGCCGACCCATTGGGTTGCTCTCTGTGTAAATTTTGTGGCGGCCAACAGGAACATGTCTGCTCGTACCTTGTACCTTCGGTCCACTCCCACTTGAGGGGGAGGAAGGAGGGGGTCCACGTACTGGGGCCAGTTATCCTTGGAGCCCCTCCCCCGCTGACCCAATTCCTCCCAGGGCGGACCAAGACTTTTGGAGACTATGGGGTATCTGCCAGGGTGCGTGCAAGTGCAGACCGAAGAAAAAACCAGCCTCGGGCTGGCCTGATAAATTGAACGTCGTCCGCCGCCCCTGCCCCATTCACCTTGATACCCTACCTCGCCCTCTCTTTCTTTCCATCTCTTTTCTTCCTCACCCTTCCCCTCCTTGAGCTCTCGCCTGGTTCTGGTACTCGCTTGTTGCGGGACTAAAGGCTCGAAGTGACGAACCTGGTCGCACTTCCGCACTTGGGCGCATCCGACCACAGTCTGCCTGGTACCTACAGCCTGCCGACAGTCTTCTGCGCCTCCAACACCCGACGACCATCACTCCAGACGAGCCGCCCCAGGGCCCCGTCGCCAAAAATGACAAACAGCTCAGACAAGGAGCACGGGGTGAGTCACCTCGAGGGCGATGCCGAGGCCGTGGCCGCCCATAAGGTCGGCTCCCACGGCGGCCAGCACGCCTCGCCCGCCGACTTCGGCTTCAGCCCCGAGGAGGAGAAGGCCATCATGCGCTGGGTCGACAGGCGCCTCGTCACCACGGTCGGCTTCATGTACTGCGTCTCGCTTATGGACCGGACCAACCTCGGAGCCGCCTCCATCGCCGGCATGGACCGCGACCTGGGCCTGAGCATCGGCGACAGGTACAGCATCATCACGCTCGTCTTCTTCATCACGTACACGCTCTTCCAGCCGCCCTCCACCGTCATCGTCCGCAAGGTCGGCCCGCGCGTCCACCTGGCCCTCATCACGCTGCTCTGGGGCGCCTGCATGATCGGCATGGGCTTTGCCGCCACCTGGGACGTCATGGCCGGCCTGCGTGTCCTGCTGGGTATTCTCGAGGCCGGTTTCTTCCCGAGCTGCGTTTACCTGCTCAGCACTTGGTACACTCGCTGTGAGTGGCCGCCCTTGCTCGACATGCCTGCCTTTCTGTCTACTCGGCATTGCTGACAACTGTCACGCTTACTACTTATAGATGAGGTCGGCAAACGGTACTCGATGTTTTACCTGCTGGGATGCGTCGCTGCCGCCTTCTCTGGCATCCTGGCCTTTGGTGTAAGCCAAGATCCAGATCCCACAGCCAGCCCTATTGAATATCAAATTGGTAGTCGCTAACTGATGGATCCTTGGCAAATAACAGCTCATGCAAATGAAGGGTCTCGGAAACCTGAACGGGTATGTGATGTGTGATATCTGCTGGCCACAATGAGAAGGAGCTAATAGTCCCATTCTAGTTGGCGATGGATCTTCATCATGGAAGGCATCATCACCTGCCTCCTTGGAATTGGTGGCTACTGGTTCCTTGTCAACTTCCCCGACTCGAAGCGTGCGAACTGGTCGTTCCTGGGCGAACGTGAGCGTGCCTGGGTTGTGGCCCGCGTCCAGGAAGACCGCGGCGACGCCAAGGTGCAGGCCTTCACGTGGGGCGCCTTCCTCGGCGGCGGAAAAGACATCAAGATTTGGATGTACGCCATGATCTTCTTCAACACCACCACCATCACCTACGCCCTGGCCTACTTCATGCCCATCATCCTGAACGCCAGTCTGGGCTTCGACGTCGGCACCGCCCAGTGCCTGGTGGCCCCGCCCTACGTCCTCGCCGGCATCGTCATGATGACGGGCGCCTGGCTCGGAGACAAGTACCACGTCAGGGGGCCCATCATCGTCGCCAACATGATCCTCTGCCTCATCGGACTTCCCATCCTCGGCTTCCACCCGGACCCCAAGGTCCGATACATGGGCATCTTCCTGGTTACCGCCGGCGCCAATGCCAACGTCCCCGCCGTCATGGCGTACCAGGCCAACAACATCCGCGGCCAGTGGAAGCGAGCCTTTTGCAGCTCCACTCTTGTTGCCATGGGCGGTATTGGTGGAATCGCCGGCAGTCTGGTCTTCAGGTTTGTTCTCCCAGTTATTGTGTGTTTTCCCTGGAGAATCGATCGCCATTCTAACCGAGTTCCCTTTTCAACCACTTTTTAGGAATGCTGATAAGCCCACCTACCGCCCCGGCCTATATGCCTGCATCGCATGCGCGCTGCTCAACATCATCCTTGTCGGAGTCCTGAGCCTTTTGTACAAGATGGAGAACGGCAAGGCGGAGAGGGAGGGCAAGGAGCTGGAGGTCACCCAGGTGAGACATTCCTTCGTCGACCGCCTGCCTCGACGTGCAACGGCGAAAGCTAACCAAGATGTTGCTATTTAGGGCGAGGACTTCCAACCCGGCTTCCGCTACACCTACTAAGCGCATCTCTCTTGTCTCTACTTTCTGACTATTCGACCGCGCCCATCAACCGCTATGATGTATTGGAGGACTATTTAGGGTTGAGGCGATGGGCGTCCTCTGGCGGGGGTGCCGGAAAGGACGCTCGTGTCGTTGCGATACACCATGCCTAGGCAATTTTGCCACAACCAACGTCGTAGTCCAAGATTAGGGTGATATAATGAGATCGGATAATACTTCAAACTGCCTTGATTCAGTGACGTTTATCATTGAGCTCGCTCAACCTCTGTTTACCCATTCTGAAAGAAGCAGCACCGGCTTTGCCCTTGATCAGCACGACTTTGCACACTGATGGCATATCGGCTCACTCGACATGCCTCAAGATCTTGTATGGGCCATTACAGTTTCTTGGCGCGGCTGACGGGCTGACGGTTGTCAGCCGTTTCAACCGGTCCCGCCCAGAGCCAGTTTGCTCTTGTATGCATCATGCATCATGTAGAATTAGGCTTCGGCCCGGTACATAAGCGGCCATGGATGTCGCGCGCCACCGCCCCATGTCGACGGGGCGCGGGGGGGGGGGGGGGGGGGGGCCCTTGGCTACGGGACAGTCAGGGCGGAGGAAGGTG